AAGGGTGAGAATGATGGCTTTCCAGTCCTTTACATATCAGCTGAAACCTGCTCCTGAAATAAGTTTTAATCTACATAAATGTCTGATGCAGTGCATGGCCCCTAGAAACTCAGTACAGATTAGTTTTTCCTTTTTTTTTGTCTCACCTCCTTGAATTTTATGGTTTTATGGGTAGGGAGCCAGGAATAATTGATTCTGGTTTGGGTTCTGCCTATCTTAGGTTTTAAAAACCTCTGCACTGCTGGCATTATGTTGTTATATGTTTTTCTTGCTGTCTGCCAGAATTCTATGTATGCCTTTGTAATTATTGAGAACATTGTTAGCACTCAGTCATAATTTGCCTCATTCAGAATTAGAGTGTGATTTAGTGTTTCTACAGTATAAGTTTTGTGAGTGACCATGTGTTTGTCATTTTTATTCCCCACATTTCCAGGTGCAATTCAGTTCAGCAAATATTTAAGTGCCCACTGTGCTATGACGCACTAGGTGTTGAGTAGAATACAAGCATGACCTGGTAAGTGGAGTAACTGAGAGGTTCTCAAAGGCAATGGAGACCCTTTGGATGTAAAGATACTGCAACTTGGGAAATAGCTCCATTTCGATGTAGAAGGATTAAAAAAAGTTTTTTAATTCTGTTTTTAGTTATATTAGAGATATACTAGAGATGCATTCTAGGAAAAATTGTAAAGTTGTAGAAAGAGCCATGGTTGTCCATGACATCCTTATAACATCCTCATTTCATCACATTCTCCTTCCCAGGGTTAATTTTTATTACTTACTTTTGTTTTACTATGCAAATTGCATACTATGCAAATATCATGCCATCTAATAATTTACTGAAATATATATATTTTTAAGGGACTAAGCACACAAATTCTGTTAACTTTTAAGGAATGTTTGTTTAAAGGGATAACTCACCATTCAGTTTGGATGTGTGGCCTGATTTTTTTTTTTGCTTCACATTATAGTCAACTCTTAATTTTTAAATCTGAAAACTATTGTTAATGACAGGTAGAACCATAAAAAGTCATATAGTAAAATTGACTTTTGGGGGGGTATGCATAGTCATGTGGATTTAGATACATGTATAGATCAGTGTAACTACCATCATAATCAAGGTGCAAAGTAGTCCCATCACCCAAACAAAATCCTTTGTGTTACCTCTTCAGTCACACTTTTCCCACCCCCAACCCTTGACAGCCACTGATCTGCGCTCCGTTACTAGTTTTATCACTTTGAGGATGTCACATAAATGGAATCAAACTGAATGTAATCTTTTGAGTCTTGCTTTTTTTCACTCAGCATAATGCTTTTGAGATTCATCCAAGTTGTGTATATCAATAGTTTGTTCCCTTTTTATTGTTGAGTAGTATTCCATTTTAGAAATGTACCACATTTGGGTCGCTACTAGTTTTTGGTAATTATAAGTAGAGCTGCTATAAGAATTCACGTGCAAGTGTTTATGTGCACATACAGTTGCAGTTTTCTAGGGCAAATAACCTGAGAGTGAGATGGCTTAGAGTTATACTAACACAACACTCATGGTAAAACCTTGTTAGCTAGAGTTTGAATGCTAGAATGGATAGAATAGTAGAGACCCAAGTTGTTTGACTCCTGCTTTTGCTTCTTAGTTATGCAACCTTAAGTGAATTTAACCTCTTTGTGGCCCAGTTTCCTCTTTTGTAAAATGAAGGGTTATTTTTTTTTAAGATTTCATTTATTTATTTCAGAGAGAGAGCACGAGCGTAAGCATGAGTGAGGGGAGGGGCAGAGGGAGAAGCAGACACCCTGCTGAGCAGGGAGCCCAATGTGGAGCTCAATCCCAGAACCCTGGGATCATGACCTAAGCCGAAGGCAGATGCCCAGCCAACTGAGCCACCCACGTGCCCCTAAAATGAAGTTAATAATAATAACCAGTGAGATTGTTGTGTGGAATTAATGGCATATTAAGGATAAAATGCTGATCAGTGTCTGGCATACCAAATATTATTATTATTTCATGCTTAACTGAACCCTGTCAGAAACACCCGTCTTTAATTAAAATAGAGAAATTAAGTAATCCATAAGTGTGATGTGTTTAGTAGGCAAGCCTTCAAAGCATGCTGTCTCTAGGGGAAATTTTAAAACTTACCCTCAGTGGTGAAAAAGTTTATGAACATAGGTGTATGGGAGTCCTATGTAACATCCAAAGGTTGTCTGATGCCCAATTTTGATGGTTTTACTTGCCCTCTCAACGTTAAAGAATCATGTTCACTAAAAATTTAGTGCATTGCTATACTTAATAAAGAAGCTGCAAAACTACCTCAGAATCAACTAACATTCATTTAGTGCTTGCCATGTACCAATCTCTAGGATAGGCATTCAAGTGTATAAACCTGAGTACCTCCCCACAAAATAAGTAATTTGGATAATTACTAATTATTTTTATGCTTTTTTTAAAGGTAACTCTTGAGGACGCTGATAAGGCATGATTTCTTAGAGCCCCCATTATGTGAACCATCTATGATATCTCCGATCCTGTCTTGAAACACATCTTTTTACAGGAAACCTCCCCAGTTTTGAGGAGCACATAGAGGAGATAGCAAAACAGCATGCCTACTCAAATCTCTCCCCAGAACACTATGTCATTAGAAAATGCAACAGAGGCCCCTTTCTTGCATAACTGTTATATACTATGGTCTGGCTCAGTCTGAGAAAGCACCAAGGGCAAAAGGCATGTGTTTTCCCCTGGAGAACTTTTCCTATCCTATGAGGTACACACAAAGGGCTACCCAGTCACCTACTAGACAGTGATTGAAAACCAGTATGTGCAAAGAGGAACCTAAATGTCCTTTCTTCTCTTGTCTGTTCAGTTGTTTTGTAATGTATTCACATGCCACAGCCTGTCAACTGTGTTCTTCACCTGGGATTTCAGGGGAAGTCAGTCAAACCAGAAGTCTAGAGCACACAGTCTGGGATGTCATCTCTAAACTGTCCTCACTGCCTCCCCTCCCCAAGTACCACCAACAGTCCAACACTCAGGTTTACCTGGAGCCTTTCCTCACAATTAGAACATCCTTCCCGCTTTCCCCTGCCAATCCTGCTTGGGCCATTTCTTGAAAATTCTAGCCCAGCAAGACACTCCCCCATGCCTCAAAACCCATTCATCTGGATGCCATTCTCTACTCCATATTTCCTTATTAAATCATGTCTTTTCTTTTAAGTAGGCTCCACACCCAGTGTGGAGCCCAATATGGGCCTTGAACTCACAACCCTGAGATCAAGACCTGGGCTGAGATTAAGAGTCAGATGCTTAACCAGCTGAGCCACCCAGGTGCCCCAATCATGTCCTATTCACTTTGTCACCTAATGCCATACTTCCTTACTCTGATCTATTTCATATATACATGACCTGAAGGTTTACAATTAGACTGCCATTCCCAGAGTGGTAGGAAACCCTCAAATTCTCTACATCCTATCTCCCACAAATACCTGAAAGAGAATTGCTGCCTGCTCTTTAATTAACAAACCAAACATCAGTTCTCATTTTGTGTTTAAAAATTACATGTAACATGTTCTAATGGCCACATAAGTCCTGTGGAAAGTGATAGTTTGGGAAATAAATATGTATTTTGTGGACTGTTGAAAGAAAGCTGGTGCTTTGCCATGCTGCCGCTGTGAAAAGTATGGCTATACCGTCTGCCTGGGCAGTCTGGCTTCACGGTATAGATTTACAGCCGAAATTGCAGTAGCCTTTTTCTGGCTCCGTCATGGTTTCTAGCCTTCCCCATAATTCTTTGCCCACTTAAAATGTGAAAGAGCACTAGGAATTTTTGTTTTAATATAGACAAAACTTTGCAAACAGTTGTAACCCTCTTGTCTCATATGAAACCTGCGTCTTATACAGGAGAGAGGTGTGTGTGTGTGTGTGTGTGTGTGTGTGTGTGTGTGTGTGTGTGTGTTGAGCCTAAGTTTGGCTCTCCCTGGGATAACCAATTTAAATCCAGGATAAACATTTTTCATACTTGAGGGCGCCTGGGTGGCTCAGTCGGTTAAGCATCTGCCTTTGGCACAGGTCATGATCCCAGGGGCCTGGGATCAAGCTCCACAAGCTTCTCCCTCTCCCTCTGCTGCTCCCCCTACTTGTGCTCTCTCACTCACCTCTCTCTGTCAAATAAAATCTTTAAAAAAACATTTTTTATACTTCTAAATAAACCTGGCTGTAAAAGCTCCAGTTATACCCTTTAACCTCTTGAAGAGAATCCATGAAGGCACTTCCCTTTAGGGAAACCATCTCTAGGCTGTTTAGTTGCCATGATCTCTATGCCACTATACCCCAGGCCCAATTCAACTTCCTTCCAGACTGCTATCCACAAAGATGCAAGCTCTAAAGGTCTCTTCCCTATACTACCATTCCCACTCCTGCCACGAGGCCACCACTGACCCCTTGCTGCTCCCTGCATGGTGAGTAGTGTCTGTATTCCTAAGAGCCTAGCAGTTAAAGTCTCCCACATCCAATCACAACCTTTCCCACCATCCTTACCTCTTACTTTTCAAGTCCTCTTCGCTACTCATTCCACCTAAGTGTGCATTCACTAGAATCTAAACATACTATGAGTCATCCTGCTACTTCTGTGTGTACTGCCTTTGCCTGAAGTTTTCCACATTCCTCTGGGTTTGTTCTATCCTGTATATTCCTCAGGACCCGCTCAAAAGTTTATCTTTTTTACCTCACATGGTTCCTTTCACCTTTAAAGGCCCACAGGACTTAATGTGCTCAGCACTCATTTTCCCAAATGGGATGGTGTGATAGAATGGTTAATAGCCACAAAGTCCTTTCACTCCTGTATGTATGTGATTTTGCAGCATCTCCCATCAAGGTAGAGTCTGTTCCTCTACTCTCACAATCTGAGCTGTTCTTGTAACTTGCTTTGGCCAAAATAAAATGCAGTGTGAGTAGCTCTGTGTGACTTCTGAGCCTGGGTCTCAGGAAGTCTTGTAGCTTTCCCCTTGCTCCCTAGGAACCCTGAAACAACCTTGTAAAGAAGCCCAGCTAGCATGCTGGAGGAAGAGATGATGTGGCAAGAGAGGTCAGTCAAGAGCCAACCATCAGACATATGAGTGAGGCCATATTAGAACATTGAGGCCCAGTCACATTGCCAGATGACTAACCATATGAGGGACCCTAAGAAAGACTAACAGAAGAACCACCTAGCTGATTTTACCCCAAATTGCTGACCCACAAAATCGTGAGTACATAAAATGGTTGTTATTTTAAGCCACTAAGTTTTGGGGTGATTTACTGTGCAGTAATAAATAACTGAAAGGGCATGGTTTGTACTGTTGTATTCCCAGGGCCTAGAAGACATGCCCTATGGCAGGTTTTCTTTAGGAGATTATTGTGGATCACTGTCATCATGGTGTCACTCCTCTCTTTACTTAATAGACAAATAAGCTTTCAAATCTTCATGTCTCTCCCTAGCTCTCAAACAGTTCAAAGCTTGGGCTCAATACTGTCTTCAGGAACACCTTGCAGTTTTTCTGTGCTCCGTTGGACCAACATCCATCCATTTGCTCCCTTTGCAGCCCCATGACAGGTTGTACCTCTCAACCCCATGCTGCACCCCTTACTACTTGCCCTTGTTCACTAACTCTGTAGGGTCAACCCATGGACTGCCTGAATGCCATAAAGCTATTCTCAACTTCCCAGCCCTCCACCATGACTTTGAACCCTCATTACGTGATTCACATGTGCTTATAATTAAGGGGGACCTTAGAGATTGTCTCAGACAACCCCTTTGAGTTATGAATGAGGAAAGGAATGCCCAGATAAGAAATAACCATAAAAATGGCTTATTCAGTTCATATGTTGGCAGTATCAATACCAGAATCCACATCTCATGCAGATCATTACTTAGTAGATTGCTTATTTGTGCTTGGTTCATGTGTGTAAAACTGTGCTTCACTGATCAGACTGTAGAAGTTCTTTGGAGGCAGGCATAATTTTTACTTCTGCCTTTTCATACTTTCCTGCTATCCCCAAAGACTAACCAGTGACCACTGGACATATAAGTAGTCAATAAATACTTGTTGATTAATTGACATTTGAAAAGCAATTATACTTGAACTGTTCTGTATCTTTTTTATAAGGTTGCCAAATTTTTGAAAAAATTACTGAAGTATAATTGACGCACAGTGTTATATTAGTTTCAGGTGTACAACATAGTGATTCAACAATTCTGTGTATTCAGTGCTAACCATGATAAGTGTAGTCACCATCTCTCATCATACACTGTTATTACAGTTTTATTGACTACATTCCCTAAGCTGTACTTATCATTTTAAAACTGGAAGTTTTTACCTCTTAATCCCCTTTATCTATTTTGCTCATACCCCCACCCACCTCCCCTTTGTCAACCGCTGGTTTGTTCTCTGTATTTAAGTCTGGATTTTTTTGTCGCCTTTTTTTTCCTGTTTGCTCACTTGTTTTGTTTCTTAAGTTCTACATATGAGTGAAATCATATGGTATTTGTCTTTCTCTGACTTATTTCACATAGCATTATACCCTCTAGGTCATCCATGTTGTTGCACATAGCTGGATTTCATCCTTTTTTATGGCTGTGTAATATTCCAGTGTGTGTGTGTGTGTGTGTGTGTGTGTGTGTACACACACACACCACATCTTTATCCATTTATCTATGGATGAACACTTGAGTTGCTTCCATTTCTTGGCCATTGTAAATAATGCTGCCATAGACGTAGGTGTGCATTTATCTTTTGAAAGTAGTGTGTTTGTTTTCTTTGGGTAAATATCCAGTAGTGGAATTACTGGATCATATGGTATTTCTATTTTTAATTTTTTGAGGAACCTCCATAATGTTTTCCATAGTGGCTGCACCAATTTCCATTCCCACCAGTAGTGCACAAGGGTTCCTTTTCCCCCACGTCCTTGCCAACACTTGTCATTTCTTGCCTTTTTGATGCTAGCCATTCTGACTGGTGTGAGGTGGTATCTCATTGTAGGGAACTGTTCTGTATCTTGTTTGTGGTGGTAATTACAACAGTATGCATTTTTCAAAACTTGAATTGTACGTTAAGAAGGATAGATTATACCGTGTATAGATTTTTAGAATTAAGGTGTAATTCAAGGCAATTATACTGAACAAATCTATTTATTTGATAAATTTGGCAAATATATAGGTTACATGTTACCGTGAGAAAAGGAATTTGGCCCTTTGAAAATAAATTTGTGCATAATAAGTACTCGTGTTAGTTTCCTTCCTCCTTGCACACAAATACTTCAGGATCATCTGTCAAGACTGCTAAAGAAAGCATACATGCCCTAGGAGATGGCTGGATCTTAGATGACTTCTAAGATCCTATGGTTGGTTTGAAAGGCAAATAAATGACTATTTTGGAATGCTTGTGTAAAGTAAAATATATAAGCACTAACTCGCTCTTCTAAAGCTGGCCCCCTAGAACCTTAATTTTACTTACAAAGACTTAGGTATAAAATAAACTGTTAGCCCTCTGTTAGTAGAAATTATTTAAAAATGAAAATAATACAAAAAAGATGGCCAAATGTTCTTTCATTGTTATACTGGAACATTGACTAACAGGTCCACCCAAGGATTATTTCGTTCTCTGGGGGATTGCATCTTTGGAAGTGACATGTTAACTTAAAGATTTTTGTCGGGTAGAGATCTTAAAATTATGTTTGGTAGAAGAAATAATCCCAGAGAGTACAGGTTAACTGTCCTATAGGACATTAACCACTTTTCTGTCCACTTTAGCTATCTTATTGTAGCATTTTTAATTTTAGTACCAATGTATACCAAATCTCTCCAATATTCTTTGAATCAGCCTGGTTCCCTCACTAATAAAGTAGTCTTTGACATGTGTTCACTCTGTATTTGTATGAGGCATGTTTTTAATTTTGAAAATTATATTTTTGACACCCAAAACATCCTACAGCATTGCCTGTGGATCATGCCCTATCCTGTACAAAGTCCCTGAAATCCACTACTGATTGCTAGTTTTAATGCTGTACCGGCAACTTGAAATACCTTTGTGATCATGCTGGTACCTAAAGAGGTCTTCACAGGAAAAACACTGGATACCTCTGCAGAATACTGCAGAAAGACTTTCTGGAACTACTCTCACAAAATGAGAAACTGATGTTCCTTCCTATCATGTTATTGTTCTATTTATAAGCCAAGAGGATGACATTAAGAACCTTTGTTTTAGGAGATCCAGAGCAAACAGACTCACACTGGGCCCTTCTTTCCTGTCAAACACTATTCCTTATAATCCACTTTTGCTAGTAATGGCCATAAAATAACTATATTGGAGCAATAAAAATTGATAAACTACCAGCTGCCTCAAAAATCTAATAGCTTTGGCAAAATATACTGCAGCTCGTTGTGATAGAGCCTCCTTTTCCCTAACAGGTTTTATTTTAACACTTTCCTTTTCACACTACTGAACAGCATAATCAAATCAACAATTCAGCAAATGCCCAGTGTGTTCCAGGCACTAGGCACTGCTCAGCCCTGACCACCCCCGCCCGCCCTCTGCCTCAAGCTGGCTCCACTGGTACTCAGTGTCAATCATTGATTTGCAGTTGTCTAGGATGATAATGGAGAACAGAGTGAGCCCAAATGGAGGGTTGCAGTCTGCCCTGTCAGCACCCACAGAATCAAGCAAAAGAGTGGGTCTTTTTTGCATTAATAAAAGCTTAGTTATCTACAAGACCACTGAGTATTAAATACATACAAATTTGAAACATCCTGTGAAACAGGAAGGGCAGGTTAAAACATGGTTCACTAACAACTGGTATTTATAAATATTCTGAATCAGCTTGATGACTTTATTGAAAGAGGCATAAATCAAATATCTTGCAATAAAAACTCAAATTCAGAAGTAATCCAGATATGGTACCCATTCATACAAAGACCAAAGTGCCAACTTCCCATGCAGCATAGGGAATCCTCTGCAGAGAAATTCTGAACCAAAATTCTAAAACACCAAGGAGGAGGGGGTGGAGTGGGTTAAGGATATGGGACATAAGTAGGGGAAAATTTTTCAACCCATTTTTTTTCCTGGTGATTATTTGCAACAAAATTCTTTAATATTTCACCATAAAGTGTTTTTGAAAAAGTAATCAGTTGGGCCCGCTTCTGCCCTAGGATGTGGAAAGCTGGAAGGAGCATTGCTCTCACCCTTAAAATTTTAAAAAGCCAGCCTGACTTCAGATTCATGACTTCTATTGAACCCATCAGAAATAAGTAGTTTGCTCAAGTATTTGTTGAGAGGAGTCTTTGTTCAAAAAGTTTGGTAGTTTGTTTTCTTGCTGTTGAGGCTTTTTTAAAAAAAAATTTATTTATTTTTAAGATTTTAAGTAATCTCTACACCAGACATGGGGCTTGAACTCACGAACCTGAGATCAAGAGTCACACACTCTACCAACTGAGCCAGCCAGGCCCCATATGTATTTATTTATTTTAAGTAATGTCTACACCCAACATGAGCCTCAGACTCCCCACCTGGAAATCAAGAGTTGCGTGCTCCTCTGATTGAGCCAACCAGGCACCCCTCTTACTGTTGAGTTTTGAGAGTTGTTTTTTTTTTTAATATTCTGGATAAAAAATCCCTGTTGGTTACATAATTTATCAACAAATATTTTCTCTACATCTGTGGCTTGGCTTTTCATTTTCTTAACAGTGTCTGTCACCAAGCAAGATTTTAATTTTGATGAAGTCCAATTTATCATTTTTTTAAAAGGACTCATTAACTCTAGATCATGAAGATTTTCTCCTGTGTTTTCTTCTGAAAGTTTTATAGTTAATATGTTTTACATTTAGGTTTATGCCCATTTCCAGTTAATCTTTGTATATGATGTGAAGTTTAGGTGGAGGTCTGTTTTTTACATGTGGATATCTTACTGGTTCAGCACCATTTGTCCCAAAGACTATCCTTCCTCCTTTAAATTGTTTTTGTACCATTGTCAGACATCAGTTGCCTATATTTATGTGGGTTGATACTGAACTCTCTTTTGTTCCATTGGTCAGTTTTTATCACTTCACCAACACCACTGTCTTGATTACTGTAGCTTTACTGTAAGCCTTAAAATCAGTTAGTGTGTGATTTCTCTAACTGTTCTTTGTAAAATTTGTTTTAGCTATTCTGGATCTTTTGCTGTTCTTTATAAATTTTAGTCAACTTATCTATATTTACAAAAAAATGCTGC